GACCGAAAGATACTGGAATATGTAACTGCCAAACAATACAATGATTTTTTAGTATCCGAATATCTTATGTCAAATGATTCAGAACTTAAATTTGATAACATCAATATGATAAACCCTTTGATTCAAATTAAACAAACTCAGATTCCAGTAACTTTAATACTGATCATATTAACTTTGTTATATTTAATTATCTCGCTATTAATTAAATTCAGAAAATATCTAAAATGCAAACCACGAAAGGGTCATTTTGAAGTAAACCAAGAAAACAATTTGTCCGACAATACAAATACCATGGAAGATGAAATTATAGTCGAATTGACCAATCATCTTCATTCAACTTATCCATCAGTTCCAACGAATCGGGACGATCCAATTTAGGATGGGGGGAGTTATCCAACCCGATATCCCGGCCGCCTTACCCATTTAATAAACAATTTTGTTTATAAACAATTCTTAGCTGGGAACCTTTCAACCAGCCTTCCCACGAGAACTCATTATCTTCCACACTTCAGTGGACAATTGCACCGCAGTCCTTCTTACATAAACAGAAGCTCACAGAAGCTCTTTTTATTAACAGGCCGCCTTACCCATTTCATATACAATTTTGTTTACAAACAATTCTTAGCTGGGAACCGTTTAACCAGCCTTCCTTCTTGTATAAACAGAAGCTCACAGAAGCTCTTTTTAATTAAAGCCGCGCGGTCCTTCCACCATAAACAAAGCTGAGTCCAGCTTATGATAATATAAATATCCGCCGAGCTAAGGCATTGAAGATTAATCAGTTGAATTAAATTTCGTAAATCAAGATGACAAATTGCATCACCCAATTGTCCGATTCTCTTGAATCGAACTCTTTAAACAGATCCCTAATTCTCTTAAGCAGAGGTTAGCTCACAGGCAAATTACACTAGATCAGCCAGTCGGTTTCCAGTCGGTTTCGAGTCGGTTCTTGGCACAGTATTCGGTCCGTTCAAAAATAAGTTAATCAGTAAAATAAAAATAAATGTTAAGGATAAGTGTAACAAAGTGAAGTTAAAATAAAAAATAAAAATTATTTTTTTTTAAATAATTCACAACGATCATATTTAATTTGCATGCGTAAATCGAACGCATTGTTGGCAAAATTTTGAGCAGGCAGCTCTAGACAGGAAGAGGTGAATAATTTTACACCTGGCAGGTAGCGTTATACCACCATAGAATCAGGGAACTTGTAAGGGTAGAATACAAAAAAAAAATAATAAATAAATAAATTCAGTAAAATTTTTATTGTATTTGATATCTTTTGCGAAAGTTTTAAAAATCTTTTACGATACTTGATATGATATAATAAATGTATATAAATTGAAACGTTTTCGATACTTTTTAGATAACTTAAACGAGTATAGCCCCAAAGCCACCCATATATACATACGCAAATATTTTTTATAAATGTTCAAAATTTAATATATTTAGATATATTCACTTCTGTGTAAAAAACAATTAACTTGTCTAAGTGTCGAAATTTTCCATTCTGCGGCGATGCCTCTCATGTAAATATATACGATCTTAAAACTTTAAACGCGTTTTTCTCAAAACCACTTTTTTTGAGTTGGCCGAAAACATAACTCGAACAAATCTTAACCGATCGATCTGAAATTTTGACAGAATATCCGAAATACCTATTATCAACAATTTTGTGACTTTTTTTTTTCAAGAAAATTGAACATTTTATTTAATCACTCACCATTTTGCTAAAAATCAAAATATCGAAAAATTCCTACGTGTGTCGATAGCGGTTGAGATACAGAAACTAACAAAATTTGATTTTTTGTTCTAGATCAAAAACTAAGGACGTTAGGTTTTCGGCCATGGACCCCTTTCAAAAAAATAGCGCCTACGAAGACATGCTGCACAGCCGCCATTTTGTTTTCGATTTATTAAAAAAAAAATTAATTTTGTAGTTCACATCTAACATTATCAAACCTACTTTAAAATTTTTCGATTGGCTTTTTTATTTGGCCAAAAAAAATTCTAGAAAATGGCCTTTTTTTTGCCAGTTACTCAGATGTCCCCCCTTAAATTAAAAAAAGTATTACTTATTTAATGGTGTCTCAAATTAAGATTTAAATTAGTAATATTTAATTTAAAGTGATTAAAAGTATTTGTGTGGTCCGATTTAAAACGGTGTCTTCTAAAAGAATCTTTCGCATAGAAGCGGCAGTGGAAATATAATTTATTGTCAGTATATTACAAAAAAATATATTATTTACATGCATACATATGGATTTAAATTTACAGAAAATATTACCTTTAACTGCTTACCTTATTTGCCTACTACTTTTGCCTTTATAAACTAAAGCTTTACATTAAAACAGTTTATTACTTAGGACTAAAAATTCGCCTATAAACTTGTTCTAATTCATAAATAACATAAGTACAAAAGATTGTCTACTCTTTTATTAATTTTATATGCCTTCTTGATGTTTGCTATTATGGTTTACCTTGTAATCTGTAGTTTTAATTGGGTGTAGTCCAATTGGGGTTTGTTTTTTTCTTTTCTTTTATTGTTGTATTTTATTTGCGGATGGGTGAAACCTTAGCAGTGTTGCCAACTTTTCCCTAAGAAAAAACGGTTTTTGACTGGAAGAACGATTAAAAGAAGCCAAAAAAAATTTTGGAAAAAGCTTTAAAAAAATCTGCTTTTGAAAACACTAATTTGTTGGTTTTAGTTCAACTAATTATATTATATATGTTTGATTATTGTATTATATTAATAATGTCATCAATTTCTGCTGTTTGGTCTTGGCTTTCATAGCATAATCCTGTTCCAATCATTCGTAAATACTTATTGGGAACTGTATAGGTGTAGCAGCTCTTCTGCAGTCTGCGGTCAGAAACGGGGAATTTCTTCTAAAGCCTAGTACTCTGACGACGAAAATCCGCTGTTATAGCGGAATCGCTCTTTATTTGGCTCGGTAGTGTGACCAAAAAATTAAGGAAAAGCCATGAAACGCTATGAAAATGTACCTTTAATGGCGTTTAAGGCTTTTCTTTGATCACACTGGACAGCTGTTTGTAAACAAATATTCAAAAAAAATATTTAAAATATTAATAAATATGGCATTAAAGTGTCCATTGTGGGATAAATTCCATATTATGGGCTTCGCCTTGACGGCCCCTATCAACGCCACTTTTTTCCTTCAACTTTGCCTCTATTAGGGGTGTAAGAATAAATCAAATGAATTATTGTTATATCACGATATCAGCTGTTTACTCTCTTGATTTGGCAACGCCATTCAATTTTCGCAGGCATCATTATCGTCGTCAGAGTAGCGGCAAAATCGACGAGGCACAAATTTCTTCTTCCTTTTTTCACACCGTTTTTTTTATATGGAGTTTGACCGCTATAATACGTGTTACAGCGGATTTTCGTCGTCAGAGTACTAGGCTTAATGCTATCCCTATAGGTATTCTTAAAAGTATTTTTAAAAGTATTCTTAAGAATATTATTAAAAGTAGCAATCGTTGCATTGATGGATCAGTATTTGTTGCTGAACGCAACCAATGTAACGATCATACACAAAAAAATCGGAAAAAATCATTTGAATAAAATAAAAAGCAAGAATTCCTGCTGCCCGCTGTTTGTAAATTTTTCTAGCAAATGGCATTTAGAAAAAGCCAGATTTTACGGGAAAAAAGCGACTCTGGCAACAGTGCGGGCAACCCTGGGTCGGAACGAGCCTTGCCGTGACTTAAAGGCGAAGCCATGGTCGACCTTCCTTCAATGCCCCAAACCCCTCGGGCCCGCCGCGCTCGCCCTGCCGAGCAACGCGGGCGTTTATGAAAATGAGTACAATCAAAAAATCCGCTTCCGACCTCATGGGGGAGGTAAAACCCTAACACACGGAAAGCGAATTGGACGAGGATGAGCTATTGCGCTCAGACGATGAGACGTTATCTCCGTCCAACACAGAGGGAAGTGCAAAGACAAGCACACCTCAAGCGTCACAACCAAAGCATAGTAAAGCTGCGGCAAGCCAAGCCAAAGCGACCGGCGAACACGGGAAGACAAAACCGTGGACCCACCAACAACGAAAGGCGCAGGCAAGCAAGGCCCATTTCATCCTCGCCAAAATCGCGAGGAATGAAAAGGAGGGCAAAGCCGATCCGCAAGACCTAGCAGACAAAGCTAGGTACCTCGCAGTGATCGAGGAGTATGAGCGATACGAAAAGGAGCACCCAGAAACGCTTTTGCTTCCCCAAACAAAGCGCAACCGCTCACAAGAAGTGAGCGAAAGCGCTCCGAAGAGAGCCAAAGACGCAAAGGGCGCACCAAGACCGACCACTTATGTCAAGACGGCGAAAAAATTCAGCGAGGTGGCCCGAGATACCCTCGCTATGGCACTTGTTGATGAGCTCAACGACGATGGGCGCCTTCTGATGGAGACATGGGAGAAGGTCGAGACCCAGTTGGCAGAGATGGTGACTGACAAACTACTGTCCGAGCCAACGGGCCAGTCACCCTCCTTTGACTCCTCGGACATGGTTAGGGGGCACCGGGTAATCAGGTGCGACGATGAGTTCTCGCGGGACTTCCTGGCGGATTGCGTTGCCAGACTAGGCAAAGCATGAAAGGGGATTAGCATTAAGCTGGTCCCCGCCAAGGACATCCCAAGGAGACCCAGAGCTCGCATTTGGTTACCCAAGGGGCTGTCTAGCCATGAAAGGGTGCTCAAGACTCTGCGAGCGATGAACAAGGGAGTCGACATGGAGGACTGGGCCATTCTCAAAGCTGAACGAGAAATGAAGTCCAGCCAGACATATCTGTTCCTGATCAACCAGATCTGTCTAGAACAGCTGAAGGCAGCAGAAAACAAAGTCCGGTACGGCATCAGGAAAGCCAAGGTGAAGGTCTTCCTAGACGAACCGGACGATATTCTGGAAGACGAAGTCGAGGACGCCAATAAGCTGCTGGACGATTTGGCGAACGACGACAGCACCCCCAACACCACACCAATCTAATGCCGACGGTCGTTCAGATAAACCTGAAGCGCAGCTCCCACGCTTCAGCTAATCTGGGGGTCCTTCTCCGGGAGAAGGACATCGACATCGGCCTTATACAAGAGCCATGGACAAGGGACGGACGAATCTCTGGCATGGCCATAAAGGGATACACAACATTATACTCAAACTCGACAGGTAGGCCGAGGGCGGGTATAATCATTAAAAACAACGTTAATGCTCTTCTCTACCCCAATCTCAGCAACTTAGATCTAGCAGTGGAAAGATTCAAGGCGGCGGATGGGACAGCCATACTAATAGCCTCCGGATATATGGCCCACGACGAACCTGCACCACCTAAAGCGTTTAATAGGGTGATGCAGTGGGCCGAGGAGACTAAGACGACGCTCATCCTCGGGTGCTATGCCAACGCAAGGCACACACTGTGGGGAAGTAGGGAGACAAACGAAAGGGGTGAGTCTCTCTTCGATAGTATTATATGCCGTGACGTCACTATTTGTAACAAGGGAAACACGCCCACCTTCATCTTTCCAAGTACGGAAGGATTTCAGGGCTGGGAAGAAGTCCTAGACATAACCCTCCAAATGGAGCATAGCGATTATAAGGTAAGAAACTGGAGAGTCTCTACACAAGACTCGTTTTCAGGCCACAGGTACATATACTTCCAAATCGCGATGCCGATATGTGAAACGGCGCCGAAACGAAACCCTCGTAACACTGACTGGGACAAATACGGAAAGGTTGTACAGTCAAAGGTCAAAGACAGAAAAATCAAGACTCGATCCACCCCGGAGAGAATAGATAAGGAAGTAGAGGACTTCACAAATATTCTGAACAAAGCCTACACAGAGTCATGCAGACTAACATACTCTAAGAAGACATACCCACCATGGTGGAACAAAGAGCTATGCGAGCTCAGAAAGAAAGTTCGAAAAGCCTTCAACACAAGTTATGGAACCAAAGACTGGCAGCCGTACAAAGCAATACACAAAGAATACAAAAAGGCAATCTACGTAGCCAAGAAGGAATCTTGGAGCAGCTACTGTGAATCACTTGAAGGAGTCAAAGACACGACGAGGAAGTAAAATCCTATCGAGAGGACACACAAGCCCCACGCTCATAAACAAACCCGACGGGACAGGAAGTACGTCGGCTGAAGAGTCTCTGGAAATCCTGCTGGATACGCACTTCCCAGGAAACCAAAAAGAAGACCCTAGAATAACGGAAAGCCAGGGGGCAGACCAGCAGCTACAAGTAGAAGAGATCATCACCATGGAAAGAATCCATTGGGCGATAGATTCCTTCGACAAATACAAAAGCCCGGGTCCAGACGGAGTAATACCGGCAATGCTACAAACAACAAAAGCAAGCACGGGAAAATGGCTGCAAGCAATCTTCCAGGCATGCATTAAAATAGCACACATACCACTTCCATGGAAGGAAGCGAGGGTAGTCTTCATACCAAAACCAGGAAGAAGGGGACACATCCAAGCCAAGGATTATAGACCGATAAGCCTTACCTCATTCCTAATGAAAACACTGGAAAGGATCATATATATCGACATCAGAGAAAGAACGGAGAAAAACCTTTCCAATGCGCAACATGCGTACAGGAAAGGCCGATCCACTGAAACAGCACTACACGAGGTAGTGCTATACATAGAAAAGGCTCTACCTTTTAAAAACTACGCCATGGCCACCTTCCTGGACATAGAAGGAGCCTTTAATAACGTAAATGCGGATTCCATCCTGAGCTCCCTCAACGGTATAGGAGTAGAAGGAGGCATCAGGGCATGGATTGGCGCAATGCTGACGAGCAGGAGGATAACAGCCGAACTGAGTGACACTCATCACACAAGATTTGTGAAGAGGGGCACACCTCAGGGGGGAGTCCTGTCCCCACTGCTCTGGCTGATAAACATGGACGACATACTAAGAACACTAAATAGCGAAGGAGTAAAAGTGGTAGCATACGCAGACGACGTAGTCCTACTCACTTCAGGACCATTCCCCGACGTCATCAGCGATGGGCAAAAGCCTGCGGATTGGGCATAAATCCAAGTAAAACGGAACTAATGCTCTTCACTAGGAGAACTAAGGTCCCAAGATTCACAAAGCCAAAGATAGATGGCATAGAACTAGAGATATCACAGCAGGCAAAGTATCTGGGAGTGACACTGGATGCGAAACTCTCATGGAAACAAAACATCAACGAGAGAGTCAAGAAAGCAAGCATAGCATTCTATTCCTGCAGGAAGATGTTCGGAAAGAACTGTTGCATGCACCCCAGGATAATAATATGGCTTTACACAGCAGTAGTAAGCGAGTATGGTCACATACGGAGCACTAGTATGGTGGCCAGCATTAACTAGGGCATACAACGTACAGAAACTAACAAGGATACAGGATCGGCATGCGCAGGAGCCACGGGAGCACTGATATCATGCCCCGCAGCGGCGCTGAACGCCATCCTGAATATAATACCGATAGAGCATTTCATCAGGAACACTGCAGCACAAAGTGCGGTACGACTAAAGGCTAGCCAAAGCTGGAAAGACTACCACACCGGACACTGCAGGATTCTGAACGAGATAAACTATCGGACGACAGTAGACACAGACTACATGACAACTGAACTGTGATTCGGTAACACATACACCACCATATACCCTACAAGGGAAGAATGGAAGAGAGGAGAGTAACCGAACCGGATGAAGTATCACTCTACACCGACGGCTCAAAGATGAGCGGCGGGGTGGGGGTCGGAATCTTCGCCGAAAGCTGGAAGGTAGAGGAATACTTCCACCTCCCAGAGTCAGCGACGGTTTTCCAGGCGGAGGTTCTCGCGATACTGAAAGCTGCCAAGCTTTCGCTAGACCGAGGCCTCCGGAATACCAAGGTAAGGATATACTCAAATAGCCAGGCGGCGATCAAATCCCTCGCACAAGCACGGACGACTTCAAAACTAGTGGCCAAATGTAAAGGGGCACTAAACAGACTTGCAGAAGACAACAGGGTACAAATAGCCTGGGTACCCGGACACAATGACATAGACGGAAACGAGAAAGCAGACGAGCTGGCCAGAAAAGGGTCAGAAGAACAATCAGCAACAACAGACATCCAGATCTCCCTGAACTCAGTCCAGACAGAAATTCATGACCATTTCAAACAATTAGCCAGCAAGGAATGGTCGACGAAAGCAGAGCACAGAAGATCGAAACTATGCTGGTCCGAATTCAATAGCAAGCGAACCGCAGAACTGATCTCCAAGAGCAAAAAGGACATCAGGAGGGTAATGGCAACCATCACCGGCCACTGGCCAATAGGCACGCAAGCCTGTAAGATGGGTCTACCCTACAACCCACAATGCAGAAGCTGCAAGGAACCAAGCGAGCAGAAGACACCAGAGCATCTGCTGTGCCACTGCCCGGCACTCAACAAACAAAGAGCCCGACACTTCGGAGCACACCAACTCGAGTCACTAGGGGAAGTTGGAAGGCAGCCAGTAGCGGCCATCCTAGCTTACCTGAATGACACGGGCTGGTACTAAGAAGGGCGCAGACAACAAAATCGAGGGTGTGGATCAAAACGGAGCTCAGCTCTAATTGGAGGCGGCCAGGGCGCCCTCACCACTTGTACCTACCTGCCTACCTACCTACCAATTACTCCTTCTACAAATAAACACCCCGACGCACGTCGCGCAACATTCCGAAAGTCCTACGTGTTATTATTTATCGAGTGCATTTCAGGTTAAAGTCGCCCCCCTCCAACAACAGCAAAACCACAGATTGCGTCAGAATTTATCCGCACTAAATTTAAATGAATAAGATGACAAGGAATTTTTCTTTAATGATTTTTCTCTAACAAAGAGCAAATTCCCCGAAGAGTGTTTATAGTGGGTATAGGCATCCAAAATCTTTAAAATAAGGTAGAGGTAGGCCGTTTATATTAAATAGTAGCAATTCGGGACATTTTGGGGCAAGAATATACAAAAAAAAAAAATAGTTTGTTATGTCCAGATGAAGGACCTGCGTGGTATTTTCGGGCTGGCTGCGGCGATTTCTCTCTCTGCGGGCCGAGGGCTCACTAACCCTTAACCACCACACACATAACAATAATTATCGACAATCGATGTTACAACACTGTAACCTGTACATTTAAACGTACAAAAATCACTCACATGATTATCACACACTTAATAGACACGAATACTCCTCCTGGTGAACTGGAGGCCACATGCTTATCACTCCCTGGCATGCAGTCTGCTCGCATGTCATTGTATTTCTCCAGCTGCCCCTACTGCACACCCACTCACACGCTCACCCACCCATTTTCCCGGTTCCCTTTCTTTCTTCCAAATAAAACGTACTCTACTCCATGTTAATTTTTACTTCACTTATATTTATAACATTTTTTCTTTCCTTCCAGATATTCCTCGTGCGGCTTATTAGTTTAAGTAAATTTTTTTGTTTTCGGATTTTGTAATAATAATCGTTTTTTAAATATTTGCTTGTGTAAAGTTAGTTTATTTCAACTACCCGTAAGAGCTCTCAAGGGGGTCGAGGGGGCAAAAATATGTGAGATTGAATAAATAAAATTACACAAAAATTCACTTAAACACTTTGACTCACGCAGAATAAATACATACAATAATATAAATAAATAAATATAAACAAAAATGGTGTCGCCAATAGAAAATATATAAATAAAATATATATAGATAAATAAAAAGGAATAAATAAAATAGATGGAAAAAATAAGGTTAGGTTAGGTTAGGTTAAACCGGACGGCCCTCGAGGGGTCACACATAGGCCAATATGGCCCATAGCTATCCGGGGAAACTCCTGGATTGACGTAGAGACTATTTATGCAGGTTTCGAGATCCTTGAATATCAAGGTGTTTTTCGCAAAGGCAAGGAGTTCGCCTGGCTTCCTCCTGGAGGCATCTTCTAGCGATGCCAGAACTGGAGAGATGCTCCAAGGTTTCGGTTGACTCGGAATCATCACATTTCCGGCATTTGGCGTTGTCGGTAATACCCAGCTTGACTGCATGTGCAGCAGACAGGCAGTGACCTGTAAGAATACCCACTAACATTCTGCAGTCCTTCCGCGGAAGATGCAGCACGTAGTGGGTGAGTTTCTCGTTGTGCTCTTTGCACATGATTTTTGATATTCTGCAGGTTGCGGAGTTACTCCTCCACCAGCTTTTTGAGCTTGCGTCAGCCCGTCTCTATAGCTCGTTTTGGAGCGTTCTTAGGGAGATAGGGACGTTTTCTGTTTTTTCACTCGCCAGTCCAACGCCTTCCTTTGCAAGTTCGTCCGCGGTTTCGTTACCGTGCCTTGGTGGCTGGGAACCCAGTAGATTTTCACTGACTTAGTCGTGCTTAGGCTATCCCTGCTTGCCAGTACATTTTTGGAACTGACCGCTGATGATTGCATGGATCTTATCGCCGCTTAACGGTCTACGAACAAATTGACCGTCTCATGTGGACGGTTTATGCTATGCGCAAGCTCTGCTGCTTTCCTGATGGCGAATACTTCCGCCTGGAATATACTGCAGTAGCTTGGTAGCTTATACGACAGCCTCATTTCAGGGTCTGAACAGTATATGCCCGCCCCAAATCCTCCTTCCATCTTGGAGCCGTCGGTGTATATATTGAGGTATTGAGCATGGTCCTGGCTATTTTTACCCTCTCTACTACATTGGCCTTCCACCTCAGCTTCCTGTCAAGTACAATGCCGAGGTATTTGACTTGTGTTTTAGGGGTCAGCCTGGTTTTGTTAATTTTCGGGGGGATCCACTGCGGCACCTTGTATTTCTTGGTGAAGAGAATAAGGTCCGCCTTATCCGCATTGATATTGAGTCCTACCTTCTCCACCCACTCACATATCTTCCTGAGTGTTGTTTCCATGATCGAGCTGAGGGTCGATGGACAGACTCCCGAGATAATTATGCTTATGTCATCCGCATAAGCTGTTATCTTTGGTGCTTTCCTTTCGAATCTCTTGATTAGGTCGTCTACCACCAGATTCCATAGGAGGGGCGACAGAACCCCACCTTGCGGCGTGCCTCTGTGCGCTCCTC